GACCGAGAGGCAGAAGTAGTATGACGAGCACCATAACGGCGGTGTAGGTAAAGTGTAAGGGGCCTCCCTTAGCTCAGTCGGTAAAGGCGCAGCTACAAAGCAAGACCATGCTGGAGGTGACTGGGTTCGATTCCCGGTCCGGTCTAGGAATTTTTCGGGTTGGAACATTTCTCGACTCCCTGGGCATAGAGTATGATTGTACTTGCCACACAATTATACTAATGCAAAAATGGTAGCAGGCATCGAAAGCTCTCAATTAATAACTGTGGAAGTGCATCTAGAACACTAAGTTGAGAGCACGCAATAAGCAATAAGCTTGAAATGCGAAGAAGAAGAAGAAGAAGAAGAAGAAGGTAAAGTGTAAAACAAAAGTGGCACAGCAACAGACTTAAAAAAACGTGCAGAAGACGAACGACAAGTTCCCGACCCCAGACCTACAGATGAAAGAAATCGGTCGGTTGAAAAACGATAAAGCCGCTGCCGTTGTCCAACTATTAAGCGTGCTATTAAAATACGGCTGTGAAGCAGTGGCTAGAGGGCTACACTGGGTAATTGCCATGATTTGGGAGGAGGTAATTCCGGATGAGTATGCTGTGTGTCCAATGTACAAGAAGTTGTATTGCGCTTAGCGTGCATCTTAGTATTGTTCCGGTTGGGTAGTTATCGAAAACCATTTTCACCGGGCTGTCGTCTGAAATTCTTACGACGTGCCCAGTCCACCTTGGTCGTCTTATTTTTGCGGTGTCATCGGTCACATCGGTTTTACCAGCAACTGGTGCAATTCACGGTCGATTTGACTTCTCTACGATCCGTCTAACTGCACCACACCATAAATGGTACGCAACAGTTTTAGTTAAAAAAAAAAACATTAAGGGCGTATTGGTCCTTCACGATAAATCCTTGTCTGGTGGTCGGTACAGTGAACCGGGAAAAAAATCATGAATTTCGACGTCAAATCGGGAAAAAATATACGTCGTCCTCTCTTCGAAAAAAAATAAGGCTTCGAATAAAAAATCATGACCTTTAGAGTGGATGAGATTATCAGGGTAAATCACTTTGAAGGACTATTAAGATACTGTGGAGGCGAACCAGCCCCAGGCTGAAAGCCTCCCTAATAAAGATAAATCAATCAATCAACTATTAAGATAATTTTGATGAAGACTCCAAAGGAATATTGTTTATTTTCTTTTAATCTCATCTGAAATCGCAAGATCAACAATTGAAATGGCCTTAACTCCATTTTGTAAACAAACATTGTAAGACCATTTTCTCGCGAAGCCATTTCAATTGTTGGTCTTGATCTTATCTTAATGAGGAATACGATGGGGAAAAGTCACTTTGAGTAAACCTTAACTAGGATCACACAAAGAGGCGAAAAACCCCATATAATAAAAAATTCAAAATGGTTAAAATCAATATATGCATAAATCAATAAAATTGTGTTCTTTCCGAGGCAGGCATCGGTAGGTCACCATGGATGTTTCCCATAATTCAGATGCGCGTGGACCGAAAAAAAAGAGAACAGGAAGCAAACATCATCAAAACTTAAAATAATAGTTAGTCTGATTTCAAACCTGATTTAGTTAGTCTTCTAACAATCGCTGTTTCAGTCTATTTTTGAAATCTGATGCGGTGGTGGTGTAGTCAAACAGCTCATAGACTTTGTTGAACTCCCGACGCATCGCAAGTATAGGTTTGTTCAGTCCGTAGTCCGTTCTCCGAACGACGTAAAGAGACTGACGGAGCTTTGAGGTTTATTTGTTCGAGAATCCAAGGTGCATCAACAGCACCAAGCAATAATTTTCCTCCAAACAATGCTCTCGAGGAGTCACGTCTGCCATGTAAAGATTCCATTCCAAGCAAGCGGCGTCGAACTTCGTATGATGGCATGTTCTTTTCCTTTATTTAACGTCGGTCTCTGTTTTGCCATCGGACATCGATTGCCATCCATTGACGGCAGCCGAATGTGCAGGAAGGCAGCTTCCACACCTGCGTAGGATATCGCACCCATTCACAACACACATGGGCCGGGACCAACGGCTTTACTTCCCTTCCGAAGGAAGACGTGACCAGAGATTTTTATGCCTCAGAAAAATCCCACCGACCTCGGCTAGGATTGAACCCAGACCCATTGGGGTGGTATGAAGGCATGTTAACTATATTGTTCTAAGGAAGCAGCCTAAGAGCATATCTGGTGAATTTAGCCTGTATAGCTTCGATTCTGCTCATCCAGATGTTGGTATGCGAACTTCACACAGCGCATGCAGTTTCTAGAGTTGAACGAACAAGTGAGTAATAAATTAATCGTAAACTGTGGGGATCAGTAGATTGCATGATAAATCCTAGATTGCGATTGGCTTTTGCTATTATGTTGAAATAGTGGTCTCATTTACCCGTTGTTGAGGAGATTTCAGAATCAATTCAATTGATAAAACCAAGAGAGTTTTGACTAGAACTTCAAAGTCAATTGTTTACAAGGTTATTTTTTGAAGAATTTTAGAGGAGAACTCCAAGGTAATTCTGTGACAAATTTTAAGACAATTCTAAGGCATGGGAAATCTATGGAAAAAATTAAGCGATTTTGAAATAAAATGATTGAATTAAGCTATTCAGTGAACTCTTAGAATAATTATTAAAAATTCGATGAAAATATTGGGATGGGTTTCATGACTTTTTTTTAAAGTGTTTTCCATATAATTTCTGACAAGGAACTTCTAGAAAGAATCTAAAATTGACTATACAGGAATTTTGAAAAGAACTCTGTGAAGGGGAATGATTCTAAAGGAAATTCTTGAGATCATTTCAATAAAATTCTGTACAGAGTTGTGAACGAATTTTAGACCTAGATTATTAATTAATTTCGAAGCCGATATCATTCTGATATGATTTATCGACTGCTTTCAGGGCACTTGCATCTTGCACTTATGGCATAGTAGTCTGGATTTCTGCCCTATTAATCGCACCAAGTACACCAATGTTGCCTGCTGAGCAGTTTATGGAGCATGTCAGAAAAATATCATCTTCATAATAAATTAATAACTACTTATCCTGACGTTCAATTCAAATGTGGTCTAGAGCAATTTCTCGACTTCCCTGGGCTTATAGTATCATCAGTGGCGTCGCGTAGCCTCACTTTTTACCTGTTCAACAACTTTGAAAACGTTATTTAGGGTCATGTTTACATTCAAAACAATTTCAAAACGCTCAGGGTCTCCTGGTTTTACTTGTTTGTATTCATTGGAACCAAATATTGTTTTATTTGTTTAAGTTTTGAGAGCTATTGAACAGGTAGATTGAGGTTAGGGCAACATTACTGAGTATCATTGTGCTTGCCACACAATATACAAATTCATGCATTGGTATTGGCATCGAATGCTCTCAATTAATAACTGTGGAAGTGCATTCAGAACAATAAGTTGAGAGCACGCAATAAGCCAATATGCGCTAAGCAATAAGCTTGAAATGCGAATAAGAAGAAGTACTAAAGCAAATTCGCAGATGAGAAAATTTCACATTAGTATAGATAGCAAACTTTTCCACTGATCATTACAGCGAAGGACTAGAACTATGAAAACGAAAAGTTCACTTTCCCATAGTAATTCCCATATAAACTTCAGTGCACTATGAGTTTGCATCTAAATGAGCTCAAAGTTTGGTAGGATTACCATTTGAAATCGATTGACTTTGGTGGAGCAGTGGGTATCTAGAACATTTGTGTAGAATATTTTAAAACGACGTTTCATCCCTCATTTCGAAAATAGTTCTAGTAACTAGGCAATGCCTTCTGCAGGCAGAGCACCTTCGTGTTGCAAGTTCGCAGTTGGCATAAAGATTTAAAAAAGAGTGGTATCTAAAAAGCGTGACGTGTTAGAGAATTGATGTATTTTAGACTTTAACTCAGGAGACCTTAAAAATTTAAAATATGGTAAAATATCTCTGTTATCAAAAGTCGTGTTACACAGTTTTGTTAGTTGTTAATCTAGTTGTGACACATCTTGCATCATAAACTTTTGGCGATTGCGTACAGTTAGAAAATCGATGCTTGCCTTTTTTGGATGACTGACATATCAATTTTCATGATTCTATTTTCGACAGTTTTATAATAATTTTTAAGTTATATTTTGGTCACGTTTACGTCACCTTTTTAAATGAGTTTGGTCACTAACTCACTATTTTTTATTGCTTAATGTTGCCATCAGCCCTGCAAGCATAAGAAGATACATGAAGTTTGAAGGGATTTCTATGTTGTCTTTTAATTTATTAACGGTTAAAGTAGTGTTAAGTGTTTTATGTTACATTCAATCAATAATTTGTGACCTTTGATCAGTATAATATCTACAATGTTCCGAAAAAGGTTGTTCAAAAACACGTATGAACAACATTCAAACTTTGTTTTTTTTTTCGAGAAAATTATCTTGTATGCACCATGAACTCTTCTAGGAAATGTAACGCGCTTTCTAAATAAGTAGAACTAATTTTCAAGGTTTTTTTTTTCAGTTACAGCATATAAATTGGAAACGTTAAGTCAAACATTTGTAACGTCACGTGTCACTTCTAATGTTTCTCCACTTTGGATGCATAGTGCCTAAAATAAATAGATGCACAAACTTCAAAAACTCTCCTAGTAGAACAGTTAAATATTAACAAAAGCAACATGATAAGGTCAAAATTTGAAAGGTAAGATCAGCCAGACAGCGAGTATATTATTTTCTATGTTGTTCTAGAAATAGTATCAATTGTGCTGAATTATGAGTATAGAAATCAAATTAGACGTTGCAAATGTTTCTGAACCTCGCAATGCATTATATCAAGTCATTAAAACTTCTGGTTATACCATATGGCAGTAGCCACCATGAATGGATTAAAAATACTGGGCTCAAGTCAAAACTCACACATCTTTCAGATTCGTTATCACTATTGTAATCACACGCAAATTAATCGCACGCTTTCGTGTACTCTTCTCACTTATATAAATATACAAATTATTCCACATCCTGCAGGCGAAAGAAAATTTGTATACGAAACGACGAATCCGACAACTACGACGGGACTCGTATGTCGGATGATTACATGAGCAATTACGGTACCGTAGTGTAATATTGAAATGCGCATCGCATCCTACCGAACAACCACAACAACAACAACAAATCCCACGCCTATAAGACTTGAACGCAACCGGAAACGAAAATACCGAACATTATTCTTCGCAAAACCATACAAAAGAAAAACAACAGAAAACGAAACGATCCCAGTTTACAAACCAAATCTAGTTCAGATAATGCAATGTATACCAAGTGAACAAAAATCTCAAATCGTTATTTTAATTTTAGCTAATTTATTGAATTGTAACAAACAAACCAAAAATGGACTATCACAATTTCTGTTGTAAGAAATTATTCTTCCCCTGCTGTCTGGAGTCGAATTTTCGGTTTTTTGTCCCAGCATGGAAAAGGGGTTTCCGTACTTAACTTTAAACTATACACACTATCGTTTAGGCCCGTACTATATCAATTTTTATGTTCATTGATAAGGGAGGGAATGTCACCTAGAAAGCAGTGATTTTCAAGGGGAAAAAAGTAAAAGTGACGAAATACTTATTAGATAAAGAAAAAGATAACAATCTGTGGTGTTTTTAAAAAAAAGTAATTTAAAGTGAAACCAGTGGCGACAAGGTGAGAATGAAAAGAATGAGTATGACAAGTCTTTAGTCGAGTAAGGTTAGAAATGAAACCAAATAAAAAAGGTATATAGATATAGGTATATTAGATATTTAGAGGGTAACCATTTAACTACAAGTGTAAGTAAGTGTTAGCATTAGTTCTGGTGGAAAAGATAACAGAAGTACAGCAATAATGGTATCATTTGAAGAGAAATGAGAATTATTGTTATAATGCGAAGTAAGTAGACGAAAGAATATGAGTATAAAATGAAACAGGGAATGAAACAGAACACTGGCATTGTTCGCCGGTCGGTTTTTGAATGGCAATTCGTTTCCGCTGAAACAATTAGGATCTCTTTTGAGGCGGGAAAACATGGAAAATACGACGATGCTGATGATGAAGATGATGATGATGATGATGAAGAAAAAAAAAACCAGTCGTAAACACAATACCGGGAAGGGGAAGTAATTTATTTGACTTATTTTCAGGGAAGTTTATAATCTTCCTTCACCAACGAGCTTATAGGAAAATTATGGTACTACTTGAGCGGAAATGAATTGTTATTTTATCACTCTTGAACGCATTAGGTTTAGGAGAGCTCGCATGTAATTTTTCGGGCGGAGTGCGTATCGGTGCTTTCGTATTGTTCTGATCCGTCAATCCAACCTCCTACCCTCCTCGTTCTGCGTCTAGCTGTATTTATGTATGTACGTACCGTCATCCTCATTAGGGAGTGAAGTGCTCATTTCGCTATTGCTGCTTCTGAACTGGAGAGAGAGAGAGAGAGAGAGAGAGAGAGAGAGACAGAGATTTGATTGAAATGTTATGATGATAGAATGGAAATTTTCCCAAGTCGACCAACAATTCCTTATGTGTCTACAAAGGATGTGTTGAAAGTGTTTCAAATACTACTGTTGTCTTATGAATCAACCTGGGTTCATTTGTCACTTAACGCTTTCGTTTCCAACTTGTACATCGCTGACAAAAATTATTTCTTTGTTCCTTAAATTTATGTGCTGCCTTCAATGTGGCCAATCGATTTCAGCAATCATTTGGATAAGGGGCTGTGCAAAAACTACGTAGATAGTTTTTGATAGATTTAAATACCACCATCTCCGGGGACGGGGGGCTCCCTCCGTATAAAGACAGACTTCTAAAAAAATGTAGACCGTAGGCATTTACCCAACTCCCCCTTCTATTTCGTAAATTGTTTAGGTAGTTTATGTACAGTCCCTAAATTAAAGTGTTTTTTTTTTTAATTTGCGATGTATTATTTTATATTACTAAATTACACAGTTGTACAATGTGATTCTTGAAATGAATCTGGAATCCTCTACAAATATTCCAGTTTCTGGAAAAATCAATTTAATTTCTGACTTTCTGAAATTTTTTTCTAAGGGACCATGTACTTATTACGTAAGATTTTTCTATGGATTTTCCCCCTAGGTCAGATCTAACATCGAACTTTAACATGTTTTGAATTCTTCATGTTATTCTTTATGATTTCGTAAGGTATTTCTGATATTTTCAGACTCCCTGATAACAAAACGTAAGACAATTTATTTTTAAAACCTTACGAAATCAGTGGATGGTCCCCAATTTAAGGCGTGTTGCATTTTTTAAACTTAATTATTTACTTAAGTATCCTGGATAATTTCAGTGGTAAAAATAAGTAACGTGAAAAAAAATATTCAATCTTTGCGGTACTAGCTTTAGCTTTAACATGGGCCCAGGTAAAATTCCTATCGCCGCAATGAGCCCCTGGGTCTGCCTGTACTGCGATGACCTACCGGGTCTAATTTAATACAAACGTTTCAGATTCCGATATAAACTATATGTGAAAAGTCCAAAGATTTAATAAAGTTGAGAATCTAAGCCTTGCAATCCCGTTGGGGAAATGGAAGTAAAGCGTATTCTTTACTTCAACACTCATCGTCCAATAGTATTTGTTTCGAACGGCGATGGCTCAAAACAATGGGGCATTCTTCTGAAAAGTTTGGGAATCTTTTCAGAAATTGTGATACAATTTCAATCAACCTTTCACGTAAACTACGTTATTGTTTTCTAAGTATCCCTTTCCATTCCAAATTATGATTTCAGGTATGTGATGATCTTGATGATTTTGCATACTTTGTTTTGATAGAAATTATTTTGTTCTAGATTAAATTAGCTGATTAGGCAGTTTTTTACATAGTTGGAGATGCTTAACGTCAAATATCAGACTTACAGGGATCATTTTATACGATAGATGAGCAGATGAAAGTATAGAGTTGATAGTTCCGTTAGAGTACAGCAGTGTGAAAATTGTATGTAGAGAGTAGAAAGCGAGCAAAGGTCAATTTTGAGGAACGCACGAATCGGGTTGATCATCTCCTTTACCAAACGTCGGTCTCTGTTCCGCAATCTAGTGCCAATCACCGACGGCAATCGAATGTGCAGGAAGGTAGCTTCCACAACTGCGTAGGATATCGCATTCATTCAACCAACGGCTTTACTTCCCTTCCAAAGAAAGACATGACCAGAGATTTTTATGCCTCAGAAAAATCCCACCGACCTCGGCTGGGATTGAACCCAGACCCATTCGGGTAAGGAAGCAGTCACGCTTACCGCTACACAACCGGCGCTGGCTTTGTTGCATCTAGTCTATCTAGTTTTTTTTAATCTGCATTATTCTGTCGAAAAATAATTTACAACTTTCGACCAAATTTGGCCACAAGCTAACTATGATAAACATTTCGGCAAAATAAAAATTAAATAGTTTGTAGTTAACACGGCATCAACTTTTGCAATTATGAGCAAACTATAAACTTTTCTTAAAATCACAGAGGAAGCTTTTTATAATATAAGCAAACTTATTGAAATGATTTCATCATCAATTGTTTTCAAATATTCATACTCGCAGTGGCTAAACTGTATATTTTTTTCGTAATTTCGTAATAACTAGGGGCTTGGAAATTACTTCTAAATAGCATGCGAGTTTTGGTAGATCGTTTAAGGGTTAATCATCATGAGCTATCATTAACTCACACTATACCCAAGCTCCTTCGTATTATTGATTCGTTAGGACATCAATTCAGCAGATCAATTACCAAAACGAATCCTACTGTAATCCCAACCCTTTTATCCAACATCCCAGTAATTTCTCGTGGAAGTCAACATATTCCTACCCATTCCTTTCTTGACCAGCATTCGGACGGGGCCTTTGCCTGTATTACCTAGTTTTACATCACCAGTATTTACACATTGAGGATGATTGCTAGTCCCAAGCAACGTACATTAGTTCTTTGTGTTATTACAGCTGATCTGGCAATATCGGAGTTGCATCCTCGGGCGGTTAATCATGCTCATGCTCATGAGCTATCATTGACACCCACCAATTTATATACAGGATGTCTACTACCTGGAAAAACCTGGAAAACCGGGAATGTACAGGGAATTTTATTTTTTCTGGAAAAACCTGGAATATTCAGGAAATTTTGGTTCCACTCAGGGAATTTTCCAATTATCACTTCATTCGCAATTCAAAAGAAGTTTTTCGTTCAGTTTCTCGAAACGTTTCTTAAGGACACTGAACTTGACAAGCATCTGACAGCTAAGACAACGTGTGCGAACGAGACAAGTTCATTCGGAGAGTCTTGTCACGCTCGCTCTTCGCTGATTTGTATGTGCAGGATCAAAATCGTCGTAAAAAAGAAACAGCCGAAAAAGAGAGACTGGCAACCGTCAAAAGGAAGCATACGAAGCATGTATTGTATAAGAATAAGCATGCGAGACAGCAGGTCTGAGAACCTACATAGATTTTTTTGAGCTTCAGAGAGGGTCGGAGATCTACTGAGAAATTTGTTGAGCTTCATGGTAGTTCGTAGATCTTGAGAACAGAACTACAAACAAATTAAAAGTTATTAACAGAAATTCATAAAAACAAAATCACAAGAGAGGTCGTAGATCTTCAGATAAATGTTCAAAGAAATTTACAAAACTTCAAGCAAGCAAAAATAAATTCAAATCAATTTGTAAAACTATAAGTGAAATTTTGCAAATTTTCTGGGAAATTCGCATAACTTCAGACAAGTCCAAGAATCTACAGTGAAATATAAAGTATTTCACAGAAGTTTGGAGATCTTCAGAACAAAGCTACAGAACTTTGGAAAAAAATAAAGGACTTCTGAAAAAATCACAAGAATCTCAGAAATGTTAATGGATCTTCAGTAAAAATTGCAGAACTTCAGGGAAGTTCAGCGATTTAAAAAAAATATTTACACGATTTCAAGAAAATTTGTAGATCTTGAGAGAGACATTGAAAACTTCAAAGAAGCTCAAATTTTTTCAGATAAATTTTGACATCTTAGGTAATCTTCAAGGAAATTTCCAAATCTTCAGGGTAACCCGAGAGAAATTTACAAAACATCAGAGAAGTTTGCAGATCTACTGAGAAATTTATTGAGCCTCAAGTTTTTTTTTTTTTCAAAAACAAATCGCAGCGAAGTACAAAAGTACAATATTTTGCAGAACTCCATGGAAGTCGGAAATAGATAGATCTAAAGAACTTCAGAGAAGTCCGTAGATCTTAAGAGAAGTCCGTAGATCTTAAGAGAAGTCTGTCGAACGTCAGAAAGTTAGTACGTTTTTAAAAAAATTTGCAAAACTTCAGCAAAATTCACAGATCTTCGGGAAAGTTCGCCGATCTTTAGATCAAGAATCCACAAAGAAATTTAAAGAACTTTAGAAAAGTTCGGAGATCTACTGTGACATTTATTGCACTTCAGGGCAGTTCGTATATCTTTAGAGCAGAAACACAGTACTTCAGAAAACTTTACAGAATTTGAAATAAATTTTAGGAACTTCAGAAAAGTTCAGAGTGTAGATCGTAAATCTACTCAAAAATTAGCTGATGTTTAAATAAATTTTCAGAATTTCACTGCGTTTCTTGGATTTTTAAAGACATTTACAGAACTTCAGGTAAGTTCGCTGATCTTTAGAGATATTTACACAGCTTCAGAAAAACTAGAAAAACTTCAGAATACTTCCTAAAACTTCCAGAAAACTCAAAAATTTCTAGATAATCTTTTAATGCTTTAGAAAATTGTATAGATGTTCAGAAATATTTGCAGCTATGCATTGAATCATGAAAATCTGCAGAGAAAATTAAAGAACTTTCGATAAGTTTGTAGATTATTAGAAATTTTGTGATCATCAGAGATAATTGTTGATCTTCAAGGATCTTAAATCTTCAGGGATTCAGGAACTTTGTAGATTTTTAGGAAAATTTGCAGAACTTCTGAAGAACACACAGAACTTCAAAGAAATCTGCAGAACTACCGAGACATTTGCAGATTGTCAGGAAAGATTGTTGATCTTTAAAGAAATTTTACCGAAGAACAGAAACAAAACTTTAGGGACGTTAGAAGGTTTGAAGACCTTAGATAAAATAATAATGTGTATAATTTGTAGGCACCTGGAATTTTTTTCATCCGACCTGGAAAAACCTTGAAAACTCAGGGAATTTGATTCCTTGGATTGAGTAGACACCCTGATATATTTGGCATGAACAGAAGTTGATGTTGTTCCAATGTTATAATTCATTTTGTATGAATTCCTTATTCATTTTAAACGTATGGAGCGCAAAATACACGCTACTTCTGGATACCTAAACTCAAGTTGAGTAACAGCAAATGATCACATACCACAAGATTCAACGTCTTATGCTGACGTTTCTCGTAAACGGCAAAGCTTCTCCGATCACGACCCCCTGTCAACGGCAACCACCGTCATCTTCGTCAACCGGGCAAATGATTATTAAAATACACGCGTTGCACGGAACCTGCTTCCGAAAGGGGAGGAGGGAAAAATCAGCATCAGCAGCACCAGCCACGCTTGAAGGATATAATTTGCTTTAAATCGGATCGAAATTTCCTATTTGCCTGTCGCTCTAACACAGGGTTTGATTTTGCTCTCGCCATCCGTCGTCGTTCTCCAGCGACCTCGTTCACCCTAGCTCTATAATTTGAACTCGATAATCCTGATAACCTTCAGAAACAGAAACAGAACAACCATATCGACGACGTCGACGGTCGTCAGCAGAACCCCGCGCACCCACCGCCGGCCGTCCTCGTCCTGGTGAGCAACATTCTCTAATTACCGGGAAAAGGGAATCCCTGTGCTACAGCAGTGGATGGGTTTTTTGTTTTCTTATTGCCAAGATGATGCTGCTGCTAGGTGCTGCTCTCTACGTCGAGGTCGTTGATGTTGGTGCTGTTGTTATTGGTCTGGTGGTGAACCCCAGATATGCTTCTTTCTTATATTTTTCGAGGGGTCGAGCGAGGCAGGAGGGGGAAAACTGCACCCGGGGAAAAACAACGAGAACAAGAAATCGCTTCATGTGTTTCGAATGAATAATTTTAATCTTCTAAATTAGAATTGAGGGGAGGAATATCCCCTTTTTGCTGCCAGCTAGGTCTCGCTGGCTCCTGTGCTGCTCTGGTTATCCTGTGCATGAGTGATGATACTTGTGGATGCTATATTGATGCTAGCTGCTCCTTATGAAAGCATTCCATCCGACCCGTGTGCGGTGTATGTTCAGAATTGTGTGCGAGATGAATGAATGAATGAAAGAAAAACGAGAATGCTATTTGCATTCAGTTAGTTGGTCACACAGTGGGTCAGAGGGCTGGTTTTTCTATGTGGAGTCGTGTGCACTTTGGATTAATGTTATGAAGGATTAATTTTGAGATTGGAACCTTGTGGTCTACTTAAAGTTCTATCGTATATCCAAACTAACAGTAATAGTGTTAAAGTATTTCGACTTTTGAACTGAGTCCGTCGAATCTGAGCCTTTTCTTC